GTGGATGAGCCCTGTGGCCCTCAGCTGTAGACCTTTTATTCCCCTGTGACCCGCACAGACTCCTCTTGAATAGTGACTGGAAATTGCTGGATTACCTTTCAAGGTTTGATAGGCAAGTATATCCTTTTTCCCTCCTGTTTTTACCTTTTATAGTGCTGCTAAGTGCATTGGCTCTTGCTTTGTCCCTCTCTCTTTAAGGATAAGTGGCCTGGAACCAACGTATTCTTAGTTCCTGCTTCTTTTCACAGGCTCCCACTAGCCCTTCCTCACCTGTGCCTGTCCCCTGCCGTGTACCCTGAGCCTTGACTCTTTTCCTTTGTAGTCGCTCCACCTGTGTTAGAGTATGTGCAAGGTTTACCAGATGACTCATTTACCATCTCACATGCTTGAGTCACCTTCCTTGAAACTAATTTCACCGCTTGTGGTGAATGGACACGTACTAGGTGTAATTGAAAAACATGAGGAGTGATTAAAAAATTATGACAGGAAAAGATATATTGTCATCAATACCCCTTAAAATACAGGGAGTGTTTTCCCCTAGGGCCTAAGGACGCCAAACACGCGTGATTCTAATGTCAAATGGCACTCACTCGGACCTGCTGCTTTAGCTGCTCTGGGGAGATAAAATGTGCAGTGTTCCCGGTGATGTTGCAAGCTGGTTAAAAAGAATCATGAAGCAAGAATTCAGAGAGGAAAAATTTGCATTAAAAAAAATAAAATCTAAAAGTCTGAATTTCAAGAAAGGAGGTCCTAGGAGAGAGACTGAGCCAGGCAAGGTGCAAAGAAGGCCCCTTCCCAGTCGTGCCTGACAACACTTAAACTCAAGAGTCCCCATCTGCCTCATGGCAGGCCAGGGCTGGGTGGAGGTAATCAGGGTGGGCAGCATTTCCACAACTTGTCTACTCCGAACCAGCCTTTGGGGCACGGGTCAAAGTTCCTGAGTTCCAGGCTCTCCCTGGAGCTGCTGAAGCAGCAAGTACGGGTTGGACTCTGAGTCCTTGAGCCTGCGCAGGAGCTGTCCACTGTGCAGCCCCCGGCAGAGGGCAGAGGAGAGGGATGGGCTGTGGCCCAGAGTGGCGCTGTGAAGTCCCATGGAGCTAGTTCCTGATGTGATAGTTAGATCCTCTAGATGCCGTCGCACATTAAACCTCAGCTTGAAAACTTCCAGAGTTGAGATCTTACTTTTTAAGGAACTCTTTCCATCTTAGATAGCTGTGCCTACTCAATGCTTCTTGTACCAGTCCAGTGTTGGCTTCTTCATTTCCCTTCCTGGACCCATGTAACATGGCCTGGAATGACAGCAGATCACCTATCTTCATTTGTCCATGTTTGTGATACATAATGCATACGTCCATTGTGGGCAGTAGGTCCATGTACATTGTACGCCTCAATCCTTTCTACTTCCTTTCCCCTCTCACTTCCCTTTTCCTCCACCCCTAGACTCCCTTCTCATCTGCAAAAGGTCTAGCTCTCTGTTTCATATCGTCTTATTTTGCCCTTTAAATTATTTATGCTTTGGATTTCTCATATAAGAGAAATCATGCATTTTTAATCTTCCATGTCTGATTTATTTTACCTAGCATTATGGTCTCATGCATCCATTTTCCTACAGATGACTCAAATTTCTTCTTTATGGCTGAAGAGTACTCCATTGTGTATATAAACCACATTTTATCCATTCATCTGTTGATAGACAGATGGGCCATTTCCATGATTTAACTATTCCTCCATGAGTTTAATATTTTGTTTTGTTTTTTGGTACTGGGGATCGAACTCAGGACCTTGTGCTTGCAAAGCAGGCACGATACTGCTGAGCTAAATCCCTGGCCCTAGATTAATGTGTTTTGCGGCTTGTCTTCTAAGGCTGCTGGTAAATCATTCTCTACACAAATGCAGAAATCTTTGTAATATAATAAATTCCCAAGCTTTTCTTTGAGAACTGTATTGAGAATCAACACATTTCTCCTGAATGAAGGAAGTGTCCTAGGGTTAAATAAACTTGAGAATTAGATTTCCTCTTTTAGAAAAGTTAAAATGTACATTAACATATTAAAACTAATAGTAAGTCCTGCACTGAAGATTTTTTCACGGTTTCATTATTCTGAGAAGTAGGTTTTTGGTGATACTGCACTAGGAACTGCTGCTCTATGTGAGAGTTTTTAGAATTGTATAGGAAATAAATCTTTCAAAGGAGCTAATCAACCCCAAATCAAGTTTCCTGTTTCATTTCCCTCCACAGCCTCTGGATTTTGAAACAGCAGCTATTTCCAAAATTGTAGTCCATGCAGAAAATCCTGAGCCTCTGGTACCTGGTGTCTTGTACAACTCGAGTTCGTTTGCCTCCTTCTTTCTTTTTGTGACGGATGTGAATGAAGTACCTGTGTTTTCCCAGCCTGTCTTCCAAGCGGAAGTCAGTGAAGATGTAGCTGTGGGCACTAAAGTGGGCAATGTGATGGCCGAGGATCCCGAAGGTCTGGACATAAGGTACAAGAGCACAGGGCCAAGCAGGCTGAGCTGTGTGCTGCAACTACACAGAGGGGATGAGAGGGCTGGGACGGGAGAGAAGCTGGTGGTCCTCACGGAGCAGCTGGTGGTCTGGGCAGGAGATTCTCTGCCTCGGCTCAAGCAGGTGTTCCAGACAAGTGGGAGGCAGTGCAAGTTTCATTGCCGCCCACTTGCTGCAGGACCCAGAGAGAGCTGGTGATTTCCGGGCATGGTGTCCCCCTCCTGGACTCCATGGAAGGGTTCCAGCCCAGGGAAGACCGGAGCTTCAGACAAACCCAATTGAGGGGACAGGGCCAGCTTTCAAGGGGAGGGCCTCTTGTGGAAAAAGGTGGCTCGGTTCCCTTGGCGCTCCGGAGAGCTGGTCTGGGGCAGTGAGATGCATCCTCAGGCCAGCCCTGGAAGCGCTGATGCTCAAGGTGGCGTGGCTAAGCAAAATGGGGAAATATTTCCATCTTAACAATTCTCGGTCCCCTTTTGTTCAATAGGACTAAACTGTCTTAAAATATGCACACATAATTATTTTTATTATTTTTTTTCTTTTTTGGTACCGGGAATCGAACTCAGGATCTTGCTCTTGCAAGGCAGGTGGCGGCACCACTGAGCTAAATCCCTGGCCCACATAATTATTTTTAAATGTGCAATGATGATTAGTTTGGCTATCTGGATGATACCTATAGACTCTTTTAGGTCATATATTAATAAGGGGACAGATAGGACTTGCACTCAGATCTTTTGCTTCTATGTATTGTGCAACATTATCTGTACTGTCTATAACATAGAAAATATGTTGGGATGGCTTAAACCAATGCATGTAGTTACAAATAACAATCCCTTAAGTTTCTTTAAACATTTGAAAGGGGGTCTTGTCTCCCTTTGGTCCTTTAGGAACTTTAATTTTAAGTCTTTCTGATTGTCATCTATATTGGTCTGTTGATTGCTATTATAAAATATGTGACTTTGCAAAGGAGAGAGATACATTTTTGGAAGTTCAAGGGTTACTAGATGGGGTCTGAGTGTTACTGGACATGTACAGGGTGGACTTCCAGAGAGGAGATAACTTGAGTTTATCCCACCCTTAGGGTAGGTTGTAGGCTTGCTGATTTGTCACATAAAAGAATTACAGGACATCTCAGTGAAAGGCATAAAAAGATTATTCTGAGTATACTTCTTTAACTCTCCTAGTACAGAGTGTGGGCCCTAAAGAGAGAGGCACATTATGGTTGGGGTTTAGGGTTTTATGTGCTCTCTGGGTGTCCTCAAGACGGCTGATGTAGGATGTGTGTGCCTGCTCTCTGTCAGGTTACCTGTTTGGTGGGCTAGGTTAGAATGCAAACCATCTGCATGTGTTTGAACTGCAGAGAGATGTTGTCCACTTACCAGTGTGGCTTCCTTGAGTATGGAAGTCTGGGGTTTGTGAATCTATGGTATCAGAGGAAGGGTACAGGCTCAGTTTACAGGTGGTCTTAGTTACTTATCTCTTTGCTGAGACAAAATTTCTACCATCCAAAGTTAAAGGAGGAAAGGTTTATTTGGCTTATAGTTTGTAGAGGTTTCAGTGCATCGTTAGCTGGCTCCCAGGCAAGTGGCATGGCAGAGGGGCATCGCACAGGAGAAACAGTTCATGGCAAAAGAAGGGCCAGCAGAAAGCAGCAAGCAAGCGACAAGCTACAAGCTTCTTTCTGTCCCTTACATCCTATCCAGGTGACCTGCCTTTAGTGCTGGTAGCACTCACTCCCAGGGAACCTTTAATCCTACCCAGAACTATGCCAAACCAATCATTAGACTAATTTAGTAACTACACACCTTTAATCCTAGTACCATATGTGCTAGATCCAGGCACCTCTGAAAAGTCCCCACCCAATGGCTATGTGAGGCTTTGGGGCCACATTGAGACGTAGTCATAACACAGATGAAAAGCACAGGCCCAATTTACAGGCTTGCTGCATCTTTTAGACCCTTAGGAATTATTTTGGAGGGTGTTTTCTGGAAGGGAAAAGATGTTGTCACCTTGGGTAACTGATTGTGTTCTGAAGCTGCAGTGTTCTTAAAAGTACAGTTTAGAAATTATTTTCCTCGTCCCCTTCCTATCTTTCTTGCTTCTCTCCTACCTCACGGGGCCACGGCACCACCTTAATTTAAAGGGCACCTCCCACCTCCCAACACCACCATACTGAGACCCAAGCCTCCAACGCTTGAACACAGGAACCAACACGTGAAGCCTGGGGGACAAACTTGCACCTTATCCACACCACAGTAAGGAGCAGAGTTACCACAGACTGAGAGGAGAGGTAGGCAAGGTAGATGGGAAAGAAGGCATCCTATAGATATGGCTCTGGAAGACCAATCAAAAAAGCATCTCAGGAATGAGGAACAGTCAGTAGGTTCAGATGCAAATCAGTTAAGAATTAAGGGTGACAGCAAAGTTTAGGCTGGAGCAATTTAATTCTTCAGCTGTACATATTTAGAGTCAATCAGCAGATATTATGGGTTCTCTCACTGAGGTACCCAGATGCTTCTTACTGCATCCGATGTGGTCCATGCTGTCACGATGCCTGTTGGGGATGCATCCTGCCCTCCCCTATTGGCCCCGAGTTGATTCGCTGTGCTCAGTTAGTGAGTCTTCGTGAAAGCACATCAGGTCAGCTTTGTACCTCTTCCAGGGCGAAGGACGGATCACAGAGGATTTGTTTTGTTTGACGCCCATACACACAGTGCTTGGCATGTACTATACCCTGAAAATGACGACAAACAACTGCTGAGAAACACTAGTTTAACTAAATATCATTCTCGTTTTTATGCCTAAACAGCTTGTTTTCAGTATTTTTAATCATAGAAAATATTTTGAGTACATGGAAGCATATAATTCTTTAAGTTCTAACTTGTTATTTTTTTATTTAGGTAAATAGTCTAATGATATGGAGGACATCTTTCTGGCTCTAATGTGTTGCTTCCCATAGGGCTGTGCCTGTTAGTTTTCCTGTGGTTCAAGTCTCATTTCAAGCTCACCCTTCACACGCCTCCTGAGTTCCATTGAAAATACCAGTACGTCTGGGTTCCCTTCCTGTTCACCACCGTCTGTGTGTGGCTGCCTCTTTCAAGTCTATGTTGCTGCACCTTTTGCACCCACTGATTCTCAGATGTACCCAGCACCACTGGGGTGTGACTCTCCTATACCCATTGAGCTACTCCTTGGCTTCTGTGCTCTGGGTTGGGCACCGTCCTCCTGCTTGAACTCCCTCTGCCTGCGTTAACATCTCCTTCAGCAAGGCGTCTCTGAATCCTGTCAACCTCTCTAGGATCCCAGAGGGCCCCGTCTGTGTATTTACCACATTTCATTGGCATTATCTGAATGTGTGTAAGCCATTCACCTGGCCCACTGCCTGTTAAGCGCTCAACTGATCTTTGTTCAGTGAGGGATTCACTAAGCCACCAGTGGTCTGATTATTTACCTGTTTTACCTAATGTCTCTACCTCTGGGCAGTTAGGTTTTCTCAAGAGAGGGAGGTGTGCTGAGAGATTTTTAAATATACTTCTAGGTTGCCTTATTTTAGATTATTTGATTGCCTGGAAAGCTTTTCTCTTGTAGAGTTTGTGACTATACCCTTCCAATAAAAAAGCATAAACACCACATTGTAACAATGAACAGATTCTCCTTGTGAAGACAGAGGATATAAAAATAAAAAATTTAACATGAGATAATGATCCTTGTAAATACACAAATGATGATACTGATGTAATACAGTGATGTACAACTGTTTTGTTTTCATGCAAAATAATAATGCTTTCTTCTGTTTTCTTTTCATGAAGATATTCCCTGAGAGGTGACACGCAAGGTTGGCTTAAAATTGACCCCATCACTGGCGAGATCTTTAGCGTGGCTCCGCTGGACAGGGAAACTGAAAGTGTGTATCGGGTTCAAGTGGTGGCCACGGAAGTAGGTGAGTGAGCAGAACTCTCGGAACACAGATGATCAGGGGATGCAGTGGTAAAGAGGGAGGGTGAAGAACTTGAGCTCAAACCACCAGGACGGAACAGGCTTCAAAGTAGAAGGACACGAAGGGCAGAGAAGTGCTAGCCCACCCTTCTTGGTTTTGTTAGAGATGAGAACTACCCACTAGCGGGGCTGTTTCTGGCTGGCGTTGTCCTGGAGGCTGGCCATTTGCTCTGTGTGTTTTTGTTTCGTTTTGGTTTTTTGGTAGGGGCTCTCGCCTCTTCTGGGAAACTCCCAGTGCCCCTGCCTATACTACCTCCCTCCGTCAGGGTGGCTGTGGGTTTCTCCTGGGAGTGAGGCCAGACCAAGTGGCCCAGTGATCCTAGCCCACCACTTGCTCCTGGAGCCTCACACTGCAGCCCCGTAGATTCTACCCTTTTGGAAGCAGAAAATGTTTTATGCAGTATTCTCCACATTGATATGTATCAGAATCATCTGGAGACCTTGCTCGCTGGTGATCCCAGGAGCCTACTGCTGGAAACTGATTCAGTAGGTTTGCAGGGATTTGGGCATCTTGGTTTACATGAAATAGGATAAACTTGGAAAGAAAAGACTGTTACACAGGTAAGCTGAGGGTGTTTGAATAATCCTTGCTTAATCTTTGCATCCCATGTAGTTCAGTTGTGGTGAAATATGTCATCCACTGGCTCTGAATGTGGGCTTCCAGGGAATTTTTCAAATTAAAGTAAGCTCACAGGAACATATGCTTACCAGCGATAGGCTGCTAATTAAAACACTGAATTCTTTGCATTTAAATGGAATCTTCCAACCCACAGTAGATAATCTGTTGATTTTAAACTGATCAGAGGCTCTAATTAGCTGGTAAATATGTGCCAGGTTTACCAAGAAAAAAACTGAACAAATTACACAACACATGCATATACTTTTAGACCAATAAAAACCTTTCAAAATGTGAAGCCTCAAATTGGAGGCTAGAGTGGGGAACAGAGAAAGAAATCATAAAAATGGTCTGTGTAAGTGGAGAGATTAAGAAACTCAAAATTAGCACAATCAAGTGAAACCAAAGCAGGCAGAAACACAGAACTTCTATGCCAACTTCAGCATGGAGTGTGAGTACATGGGCCCGCCGAGCCGAGTCAGGGACAGCCTCTGAATTCCTCTGTCACACTGTGTACACCCAGCTCTTGATTTAGAGACTCCTGGTGAATCAGGAAGGTCCTGGCTCAGCCTTCATGCCATGCACCCCTCCGTCATTCCACAGGACTTCACACTGCTCTGTGGGTATGTTTGAGGCATGTCTCACATTTGAGAAATTTCACGAATCAAGACCGCTCTCCAAATGCTAGTCCTTTTTCAGTTGCTGGGACTGAAATAACGGAAATAGACAAAATGACTTCAAGAGCCCCAGGGGGTTTTCTCTGGTTTGGTCAGGGAAATAGAAGACAGGAAAGAAAACAAGGAATCAGAATTGAGTGGAACTGAAACAGTCAAATTGTAGAAAGAGTGTGTTTGACGTTGGGGAGAAAATAGTCTGTGTTTATGGCGGCCTGCACTATGCACATAGTAACAACTTCCCCATGATATCACACTATGAGCTATGTTCTATTAGTGAGCAAAATTAGGGAGAGAGAAACCAAAACATGGGGCAGTTATGTAACTTGTCCAAGATCACACAGCTACCAACCGATCATGCAGCACATTACAGGTTTCTCCACACAATAGCATAACACGTAACATTTATGCAGCCTTTTATTATTTTCTACAGCACTCAATTCTACGTGAGACCTTTACAAAGCCATGTTTTTCAGCTGAAGAAAGGTGGCTTAGATTCTGGCCTGTCATGTGTAAGGCACTGCTAAGGTGCTCCAGAGGGTGTGAGCATGAGCTAGACCTCCGGGGGTGGAAACCTGCTTCTCACCGGCTGTGTGACCTTGAGTAAATCATACACCTTCTCTGAGTTTCAGTCTTCCCACCTGCAAGTGTGCAATAGCTGTTTAGAAGCAACAGTACACACATCTTGGTTGGTATTAACGTTAAGACTTTAGGGGCAAAACCAGGTCTTTGATTCTAAAAGCTTCTCTCTACTACCTCAATAGATATACGTGCTTAAATATGGTTTTTGAATCGGGGATCGCACTCAGGTCCTTGCGTTTGCAAAGCGGACAGCGGAACCACTGAGCTAAATCCCCGGCCCGATGTTGAACTTTTTTTAAAAGCAAGAAATATTAGGAGGACTGTGAGCATGCTGACACGTTTCATTCACTCTCTGCTTAGGCGGGTCCTCCCTGAGCTCCACCTCGTTTTTCCACCTGGCCCTCAAGGATGTGAATGACAACCCCCCGCGGCTGGCCAAGGACTACACAGGCTTGTTCTTCTGCTACCCGCTCAGTGCGCCGGGAAGCCTGGTGTTCGAGGCCACTGACGATGACCAGCAGACGTTCCGGGGTTTCCACTTTACATTTGCCCTCGGCAGTGAAAGTCTACAGAAGGACTGGGAAGTTTCCAAAATCAACGGTGAGGCGTCAGAACTCCCTCAAGAAAAACACGGCTGGTTGACGAAATTAGGTTTTATTTGCCTCGGGCGGATGCTGGGGCAGTCAATTTGAAACCCATTTTTCTTTATGTACATAGGCATTTGGTATACAAATTTATTTCTTAGTATTCCTTGGCTGCATTCCATACAGTCTGACTTATATTGTGCTTTCATTGGTTCAAAATACAGATTTTCTTTATATTTCTTCTGCGATCTATGGACTATTTAGAAACGTTAGTTTCCAAATATTTGGGGGACTATTTCCTACATCCTTCTGATTTCTAATTTAATTCTATTGTGACTAGAGAATATGGCTGAAATAATTTAAAATTATTTCTTTGTTGTATTATCTGCATTGTTTCTTCTACAATTACTTTGTTTCTTTGGAAGTAATATTTTTGCCCCCTCAGGATGCTTTTAAAGTATTTTATCACTAGTTTTCAGTAACTTGATTATCTGCCATGGTATAATTTTGCTCAAAGTTTTGTTAATTTTCTTGAGATCTGAGGGCTTAGACTTTCTGTCATACTTGCAAAAATAGTTCTTCTTTCAAATACTTTTTAATCTTTTCATTCTTTAGTCCCTTTGAGGGATTCAATTACATATAATTAGGTTATTTGAAGTCCTTTTAAGGCTCTATGGTGCTATTTTTTCTTTTCATTTTTTCTCTGCTTTATTTTTGATAATTTATATGTCTTAAAACTCATGCCTTTTTTTCCTCATTATTTTCAAATTGCCATTAATCCCGTGTAGTAATTTTTCACATCAAATGTTATCATTTTCATCTCTAAATTAAATGGAGTCTTCCACGTCTGTACTTAACACTCTTTCTTCTGAACATATAAGATACGACTATTTTCTTGTCTTTGGCAACTATTAATGTCACTTCAGAATAGCTTTTGATTGGTTTTTCTGGTATGTCTTTTTTATTAAATGTCAAATTTGGATGCCAAATAGTTTTATATTCCCATAAATATTCTTGAGCCTTATTCTGAAACGCAGTTAAGTTACTTAGAAATAGTTTGACACTTTCACACTGTTTTTAAGTTTGATTAGGCAAGGCCAGGGCAACATTTATTTTAGGGCTCATTTTTCCTAACTGCTGAGGCCAAAAACCTGTCTGTGATTTATACCATGAATGGTGAGGTGTTTCACTCTGACTCCTAGGACAGGAACAATTTCCTGGCCCTTTTACACCAAAGATTGTTCTGACTAGTTGCTTGTGTAGCTTGTTCTTTTTATGAACA